CACAAACCACAGTTAGTGTAGTCGAAATGGATGTTCCACTTGATGAAATCGAAGACATAATGGATGATAAGGTCAAAAAACTTAAAACAAAGAAAACTGTCGAGGATATTCCTGACGATGTCAAGATCAGTGAAGTTATTACAGAAGAACAAACTCCTGAAAAATCAATTAAGAAACGCGTGATTAAGAAGAAGGTTGGCAAGCGTCAAGAAATCACTGAAATTGTCACAGTTCAAGAACAAAACAAGCAACCACAAACCACAGTTAGCGTAGTCGAAATGGATGTTCCACTTGATGAAATCGAAGACATAATGGATGATAAGGTCAAAAAACTCAAAACAAAGAAAACTGTCGAGGATATTCCTGACGATGTCAAGATCAGTGAAGTTATTACAGAAGAACAAACTCCTGAGAAATCAATTAAGAAACGCGTGATTAAGAAGAAGGTTGGCAAGCGTCAAGAAATCACTGAAATTGTCACAGTTCAAGAACAAAACAAGCAACCACAAACCACAGTTAGCGTAGTCGAAATGGATGTTCCACTTGATGAAATCGAAGACATAATGGATGATAAGGTCAAAAAACTCAAAACAAAGAAAACTGTCGAGGATATTCCTGACGATGTCAAGATCAGTGAAGTTATTACAGAAGAACAAACTCCTGAGAAATCAATTAAGAAACGCGTGATTAAGAAAAAGGTTGGCAAGCGTCAAGAAATCACTGAAATTGTCACAGTTCAAGAACAAAACAAGCAACCACAAACCACAGTTAGTGTAGTCGAAATGGATGTTCCACTTGATGAAATCGAAGACATAATGGATGATAAGGTCAAAAAACTTAAAACAAAGAAAACTGTCGAGGATATTCCTGACGATGTCAAGATCAGTGAAGTTATTACAGAAGAACAAACTCCTGAGAAATCAATTAAGAAACGCGTGATTAAGAAGAAGGTTGGCAAGCGTCAAGAAATCACTGAAATTGTCACAGTTCAAGAACAAAACAAGCAACCACAAACCACAGTTAGCGTAGTCGAAATGGATGTTCCACTTGATGAAATCGAAGACATAATGGATGATAAGGTCAAAAAACTCAAAACAAAGAAAACTGTCGAAGATATTCCTGACGATGTCAAGATCAGTGAAGTTATTACAGAAGAACAAACTCCTGAGAAATCAATTAAGAAACGCGTGATTAAGAAGAAGGTTGGCAAGCGTCAAGAAATCACTGAAATTGTCACAGTTCAAGAACAAAACAAGCAACCACAAACCACAGTTAGCGTAGTCGAAATGGATGTTCCACTTGATGAAATCGAAGACATAATGGATGATAAGGTCAAAAAACTCAAAACAAAGAAAACTGTCGAGGATATTCCTGACGATGTCAAGATCAGTGAAGTTATTACAGAAGAACAAACTCCTGAGAAATCAATTAAGAAACGCGTGATTAAGAAAAAGGTTGGCAAGCGTCAAGAAATCACTGAAATTGTCACAGTTCAAGAACAAAACAAGCAACCACAAACCACAGTTAGTGTAGTCGAAATGGATGTTCCACTTGATGAAATCGAAGACATAATGGATGATAAGGTCAAAAAACTCAAAACAAAGAAAACTGTCGAGGATATTCCTGACGATGTCAAGATCAGTGAAGTTATTACAGAAGAACAAACTCCTGAGAAATCAATTAAGAAACGCGTGATTAAGAAGAAGGTTGGCAAGCGTCAAGAAATCACTGAAATTGTCACAGTTCAAGAACAAAACAAGCAACCACAAACCACAGTTAGCGTAGTCGAAATGGATGTTCCACTTGATGAAATCGAAGCCATAATGGATGATAAGGTCAAAAAACTCAAAACAAAGAAAACTGTCGAGGATATTCCTGACGATGTCAAGATCAGTGAAGTTATTACAGAAGAACAAACTCCTGAGAAATCAATTAAGAAACGCGTGATTAAGAAAAAGGTTGGCAAGCGTCAAGAAATCACTGAAATTGTCACAGTTCAAGAACAAAACAAGCAACCACAAACCACAGTTAGTATAGTCGAAATGGATGTTCCACTTGATGAAATCGAAGTCATAAAGGATGATAAGGTCAAAAAACTCGAAACAAAGAAAACTGTCGAGGATATTCCTGACGATGTCAAGATCAGTGAAGTTATTACAGAAGAACAAACTCCTGAGAAATCAATTAAGAAACGCGTGATTAAGAAAAAGGTTGGCAAGCGTCAAGAAATCACTGAAATTGTCACAGTTCAAGAACAAAACAAGCAACCACAAACCACAGTTAGTGTAGTCGAAATGGATGTTCCACTTGATGAAATCGAAGACATAATGGATGATAAGGTCAAAAAACTGAAAACAAAGAAAACTGTCGAGAATATTCCTGACGATGTCAAGATCAGTGAAGTTATTACAGAAGAACAAACTCCTGAGAAATCAATTAAGAAACGCGTGATTAGGAAGAAGGTTGGCAAGCGTCAAGAAATCACTGAAATTGTCACAGTTCAAGAACAAAACAAGCAACCACAAACCACAGTTAGCGTAGTCGAAATGGATGTTCCACTTGATGAAATCGAAGACATAATGGATGATAAGGTCAAAAAACTGAAAACAAAGAAAACTGTCGAGAATATTCCTGACGATGTCAAGATCAGTGAAGTTATTACAGAAGAACAAACTCCTGAGAAATCAATTAAGAAACGCGTGATTAGGAAGAAGGTTGGCAAGCGTCAAGAAATCACTGAAATTGTCACAGTTCAAGAACAAAACAAGCAACCACAAACCATAGTTAGTGTAGTCGAAATAGATGTTCCACTTGATGAAATCGAAGACATAATGGATGATAAGGTCAAAAAATTTAAAACAAAGAAAACTGTCGAGGATATTCCTGACGATGTCAAGATCAGTGAAGTTATTACAGAAGAACAAACTCCTGAGAAATCAATTAAGAAACGCTTGATTAAGAAGAAGGTTGGCAAGCGTCAAGAAATCACTGAAATTGTCACAGTTCAAGAACAAAACAAGCAACCACAAACCACAGTTAGCGTAGTCGAAATGGATGTTCCACTTGATGAAATCGAAGACATAATGGATGATAAGGTCAAAAAACTTAAAACAAAGAAAACTGTCGAGGATATTCCTGACGATGTCAAGATCAGTGAAGTTATTACAGAAGAACAAACTCCTGAGAAATCAATTAAGAAACGCGTGATTAAGAAGAAGGTTGGCAAGCGTCAAGAAATCACTGAAATTGTCACAGTTCAAGAACAAAACAAGCAACCACAAACCACAGTTAGCGTAGTCGAAATGGATGTTCCACTTGATGAAATCGAAGACATAATGGATGATAAGGTCAAAAAACTTAAAACAAAGAAAACTGTCGAGGATATTCCTGACGATGTCAAGATCAGTGAAGTTATTACAGAAGAACAAACTCCTGAGAAATCAATTAAGAAACGCGTGATTAAGAAGAAGGTTGGCAAGCGTCAAGAAATCACTGAAATTGTCACAGTTCAAGAACAAAACAAGCAACCACAAACCACAGTTAGCGTAGTCGAAATGGATGTTCCACTTGATGAAATCGAAGACATAATGGATGATAAGGTCAAAAAACTTAAAACAAAGAAAACTGTCGAGGATATTCCTGACGATGTCAAGATCAGTGAAGTTATTACAGAAGAACAAACTCCTGAGAAATCAATTAAGAAACGCGTGATTAAGAAGAAGGTTGGCAAGCGTCAAGAAATCACTGAAATTGTCACAGTTCAAGAACAAAACAAGCAACCACAAACCACAGTTAGTGTAGTCGAAATGGATGTTACACTTGATGAAATCGAAGACATAATGGATGATAAGGTCAAAAAACTCAAAACAAAGAAAACTGTCGAGGATATTCCTGACGATGTCAAGATCAGTGAAGTTATTACAGAAGAACAAACTCCTGAGAAATCAATTAAGAAACGCGTGATTAAGAAAAAGGTTGGCAAGCGTCAAGAAATCACTGAAATTGTCACAGTTCAAGAACAAAACAAGCAACCACAAACCACAGTTAGTGTCGTCGAAATGGATGTTCCACTTGATGAAATCGAAGACATAATGGATGATAAGGTCAAAAAACTTAAAACAAAGAAAACTGTCGAGGATATTCCTGACGATGTCAAGATCAGTGAAGTTATTACAGAAGAACAAACTCCTGAGAAATCAATTAAGAAACGCGTGATTAAGAAGAAGGTTGGCAAGCGTCAAGAAATCACTGAAATTGTCACAGTTCAAGAACAAAACAAGCAACCACAAACCACAGTTAGTGTAGTCGAAATGGATGTTCCACTTGATGAAATCGAAGACATAATGGATGATAAGGTCAAAAAACTCAAAACAAAGAAAACTGTCGAGGAGATTCCTGACGATGTCAAGATCAGTGAAGTTATTACAGAAGAACAAACTCCTGAGAAATCAATTAAGAAACGCGTGATTGTTAAAAAAGTTGGCAAAAAACAGGAGATCACCGAAATTATCTCTGTTAAGGAGCAAAACAAGAAAGCCATAGTTACTGTAAGTTTCAATGAAATAGAGGAACCCATTCCCGATGAGATTGGTAAGTTTAAAATTATGGCTTTTTTTAAGTTAACCTTATTTACAATCAGCAGTATGAAATCTTTTCTTTTGAGAATGGTTTAATTGCTTTTTTTATATTTAAAAACAAAAATTTGATTGTTAATCACATAATTTACAGCGTTTATATATTTAAGTCGATTGCCCCTATTTTAAAAATTGTGTTCCTTTTGCTTATTTTGTAAATTAATAATTAATAATATCGGGGTATATTTTTTAGAATTTTTACACATCAATATAACCTTTTTCCCTCTTGTATTTTTTTTCTAAATTCATTGTAATTATCTTACCCATAAAAGACATTTTATATTTAAGTTTTATTTTACCAAAACAGAACACATTACACATACACAAGAACACAAACACAAAGCAAAATACACAACACAAAAATCAATGGGAACGGAAACAGATAACGCAATAATAACAGAAGTATTCTCGGAGGAACAAACACCTGAGAAATCTATTAAGAAACGAATAATTAAGAAAAAAGTTGGCAAAAAACAAGAAATAACTGAAATTGTTACAGTTCAAGAACAAAATAAAGAACCTCAAACTACAGTCAAGATTACGGAAGCTGATATTCCTGATGAAGAGATTGAATCAATTGCTCCAGAGAAGATCAAAAAAGTAAAGACAAAGAAAACCATTGAGGATATTCCCGATGATGTTAAGATCAGTGAAGTTATAACTGAGGAACAAACACCTGAGAAATCTATTAAGAAACGAATAATTAAGAAAAAGGTTGGCAAAAAACAAGAAATAACTGAAATTGTTACAGTTCAAGAACAAAATAAAGAACCTCAAACTACAGTCAAGATTACGGAAGCTGATATTCCTGATGAAGAGATTGAATCAATTGCTCCAGAGAAGATCGAAAAAGTAAAGACAAAGAAAACCATTGAGGATATTCCCGATGATGTTAAGATCAGTGAAGTTATAACTGAGGAACAAACACCTGAGAAATCTATTAAGAAACGAATAATTAAGAAAAAGGTTGGCAAAAAACAAGAAATAACTGAAATTGTTACAGTTCAAGAACAAAATAAAGAACCTCAAACTACAGTCAAGATTACGGAAGCTGATATTCCTGATGAAGAGATTGAATCAATTGCTCCAGAGAAGATCGAAAAAGTAAAGACAAAGAAAACCATTGAGGATATTCCCGATGATGTTAAGATCAGTGAAGTTATAACTGAGGAACAAACACCTGAGAAATCTATTAAGAAACGAATAATTAAGAAAAAAGTTGGCAAAAAACAAGAAATAACTGAAATTGTTACAGTTCAAGAACAAAATAAAGAACCTCAAACTACAGTCAAGATTACGGAAGCTGATATTCCTGATGAAGAGATTGAATCAATTGCTCCAGAAAAGATCGAAAAAGTAAAGACAAAGAAAACCATTGAGAATATTCCCGATGATGTTAAGATCAGTGAAGTTATAACTGAGGAACAAACACCTGAGAAATCTATTAAGAAACGAATAATTAAGAAAAAAGTTGGCAAAAAACAAGAAATAACTGAAATTGTTACAGTTCAAGAACAAAATAAAGAACCTCAAACTACTGTCAAGATTACGGAAGCTGATATTCCTGATGAAGAGATTGAATCAATTGCTCCAGAGAAGATCGAAAAAGTAAAGACAAAGAAAACCATTGAGGATATTCCCGATGATGTTAAGATCAGTGAAGTTATAACTGAGGAACAAACACCTGAGAAATCTATTAAGAAACGAATAATTAAGAAAAAAGTTGGCAAAAAACAAGAAATAACTGAAATTGTTACAGTTCAAGAACAAAATAAAGAACCTCAAACTACTGTCAAGATTACGGAAGCTGATATTCCTGATGAAGAGATTGAATCAATTGCTCCAGAAAAGATCGAAAAAGTAAAGACAAAGAAAACCATTGAGGATATTCCCGATGATGTTAAGATCAGTGAAGTTATAACTGAGGAACAAACACCTGAGAAATCTATTAAGAAACGAATAATTAAGAAAAAAGTTGGCAAAAAACAAGAAATAACTGAAATTGTTACAGTTCAAGAACAAAATAAAGAACCTCAAACTACTGTCAAGATTACGGAAGCTGATATTCCTGATGAAGAGATTGAATCAATTGCTCCAGAGAAGATCGAAAAAGTAAAGACAAAGAAAACCATTGAGGATATTCCCGATGATGTTAAGATCAGTGAAGTTATAACTGAGGAACAAACACCTGATAAATCTATTAAGAAACGAATAATCAAGAAAAAGGTTGGCAAAAAACAAGAAATAACTGAAATTGTTACAGTTCAAGAACAAAATAAAGAACCTCAAACTACTGTCAAGATTACGGAAGCTGATATTCCTGATGAAGAGATTGAATCAATTGCTCCAGAAAAGATCGAAAAAGTAAAGACAAAGAAAACCATTGAGGATATTCCCGATGATGTTAAGATCAGTGAAGTTATAACTGAGGAACAAACACCTGAGAAATCTATTAAGAAACGAATAATTAAGAAAAAGGTTGGCAAGAAACAAGAAATAACTGAAATTGTTACAGTTCAAGAACAAAATAAAGAACCTCAAACTACTGTCAAGATTACGGAAGCTGATATTCCTGATGAAGAGATTGAATCAATTGCTCCAGAAAAGATCGAAAAAGTAAAGACAAAGAAAACCACTGAGGATATTCCCGATGATGTTAAGATCAGTGAAGTTATAACTGAGGAACAAACACCTGAGAAATCTATTAAGAAACGAACAATTAAGAAAAAAGTTGGCAAGAAACAAGAAATAACTGAAATTGTTACAGTTCAAGAACAAAATAAAGAACCTCAAACTACTGTCAAGATTACGGAAGCTGATATTCCTGATGAAGAGATTGAATCAATTTCTCCAGAGAAGATCGAAAAAGTAAAGACAAAGAAAACCATTGAGGATATTCCCGATGATGTTAAGATCAGTGAAGTTATAACTGAGGAACAAACACCTGAGAAATCTATTAAGAAACGAATAATTAAGAAAAAGGTTGGCAAAAAACAAGAAATAACTGAAATTGTTACAGTTCAAGAACAAAATAAAGAACCTCAAACTACAGTCAAGATTACGGAAGCTGATATTCCCGATGAAGAGATTGAATCAATTGCTCCAGAGAAGATCGAAAAAGTAAAGACAAAGAAAACCATTGAGGATATTCCCGATGATGTTAAGATCAGTGAAGTTATAACTGAGGAACAAACACCTGAGAAATCTATTAAGAAACGAATAATTAAGAAAAAGGTTGGCAAAAAACAAGAAATAACTGAAATTGTTACAGTTCAAGAACAAAATAAAGAACCTCAAACTACAGTCAAGATTACGGAAGCTGATATTCCTGATGAAGAGATTGAATCAATTGCTCCAGAGAAGATCGAAAAAGTAAAGACAAAGAAAACCATTGAGGATATTCCCGATGATGTTAAGATCAGTGAAGTTATAACTGAGGAACAAACACCTGAGAAATCTATTAAAAAACGAATAATTAAGAAAAAGGTTGGCAAAAAACAAGAAATAACTGAAATTGTTACAGTTCAAGAACAAAATAAAGAACCTCAAACTACAGTCAAGATTACGGAAGCTGATATTCCTGATGAAGAGATTGAATCAATTGCTCCAGACAAGATCGAAAAAGTAAAGACAAAGAAAACCATTGAGGATATTCCCGATGATGTTAAGATCAGTGAAGTTATAACTGAGGAACAAACACCTGAGAAATCTATTAAGAAACGAACAATTAAGAAAAAGGTTGGCAAGAAACAAGAAATAACTGAAATTGTTACAGTTCAAGAACAAAATAAAGAACCTCAAACTACAGTCAAGATTACGGAAGCTGATATTCCCGATGAAGAGATTGAATCAATTGCTCCAGAGAAGATCGAAAAAGTAAAGACAAAGAAAACCATTGAGGATATTCCCGATGATGTTAAGATCAGTGAAGTTATAACTGAGGAACAAACACCTGAGAAATCTATTAAGAAACGAATAATTAAGAAAAAGGTTGGCAAAAAACAAGAAATAACTGAAATTGTTACAGTTCAAGAACAAAATAAAGAACCTCAAACTACAGTCAAGATTACGGAAGCTGATATTCCTGATGAAGAGATTGAATCAATTGCTCCAGAGAAGATCGAAAAAGTAAAGACAAAGAAAACCATTGAGGATATTCCCGATGATGTTAAGATCAGTGAAGTTATAACTGAGGAACAAACACCTGAGAAATCTATTAAAAAACGAATAATTAAGAAAAAGGTTGGCAAAAAACAAGAAATAACTGAAATTGTTACAGTTCAAGAACAAAATAAAGAACCTCAAACTACAGTCAAGATTACGGAAGCTGATATTCCTGATGAAGAGATTGAATCAATTGCTCCAGACAAGATCGAAAAAGTAAAGACAAAGAAAACCATTGAGGATATTCCCGATGATGTTAAGATCAGTGAAGTTATAACTGAGGAACAAACACCTGAGAAATCTATTAAGAAACGAACAATTAAGAAAAAGGTTGGCAAGAAACAAGTAATAACTGAAATTGTTACAGTTCAAGAACAAAATAAAGAACCTCAAACTACAGTCAAGATTACGGAAGCTGATATTCCTGATGAAGAGATTGAATCAATTGCTCCAGAGAAGATCGAAAAAGTAAAGACAAAGAAAACCATTGAGGATATTCCCGATGATGTTAAGATCAGTGAAGTTATAACTGAGGAACAAACACCTGAGAAATCTATTAAAAAACGAATAATTAAGAAAAAAGTTGGCAAGAAACAAGAAATAACTGAAATTGTTACAATTCATGAACAAGATAAAGAACCTTTAGTTACTGTTACTGTTTCCGAAATTACACAAGACACTGATACTATACACGAAACACAAAGTACACAATTAGACACAATTAAATTAAATTTCATCACTGGTAAGTTTTCATTTGCTTATGATTATGCTTTTTGGTTTACAATTTCTTGGTGGGTATGACAAACTTTTTGTGTTCTCACATAGATTTAATTGATTCACAAATTTAATTTTTTTTTTAATGAGATTTCTTGCGTTTTTATGAGGAACATATAAACTAACATTCATAAATATTTTCATTATATCACACAGATACGCCACACGAACCAACAGTTACACTTACAGAACACATTACAGAAGATACTGAAAACATGAAAACAATTAAAAAACGTACACTTAAAAAGAAAGTAGGAAAGAAACAAGAAATAACTGAAATTGTCACTGTACACGAGCAAAATAAGGAACCACAAACAACAATAACCGTTGTTGAATCCGAGGTTCCTGAAGAGGACATTGAAGAAATCAAACCTCACGAATTCAACAAAGAGAAATCTAAGAAAATTATTGAAGAGATTCCAACTGATGTAAAGATTTCAGAAGTCATATCTGAAGAACAAACACCAGAAAAATCTATTAAGAAGCGTGTAATCAAAAAGAAGGTTGGCAAGAAACAAGAAATAACTGAGATTGTCACTGTACACGAGCAAAATAAGGAACCACAAACAACAATAACCGTTGTTGAGTCCGAGGTTCCTAAGGAGGACGTTGAAGAAATCAAACCTCACGAATTCAACAAAGAGAAATCTAAGAAGATTGTTGAAGAGATTCCTACTGATGTAAAGATTTCAGAAGTCATATCTGAAGAACAAACACCAGAAAAATCTATTAAGAAGCGTGTAATCAAAAAGAAGGTTGGCAAGAAACAAGAAATAACTGAGATTGTCACTGTACACGAGCAAAATAAGGAACCACAAACAACAATAACCGTTGTTGAATCCGAGGTTCCTGAAGAGGACATTGAAGAAATCAAACCTCACGAATTCAACAAAGAGAAATCTAAGAAGATTGTTGAAGAGATTCCAACTGATGTAAAGATTTCAGAAGTCATATCTGAAGAACAAACACCAGAAAAATCTATTAAGAAGCGTGTAATCAAAAAGAAGGTTGGCAAGAAACAAGAAATAACTGAGATTGTCACTGTACACGAGCAAAATAAGGAACCACAAACAACAATAACCGTTGTTGAGTCCGAGGTTCCTGAAGAGGACATTGAAGAAATCAAACCTGACGAGTTCAACAAAGAGAAATCTAAGAAGATTGTTGAAGAGATTCCAACTGATGTAAAGATTTCAGAAGTCATATCTGAAGAACAAACACCAGAAAAATCTATTAAGAAGCGTGTAATCAAAAAGAAGGTTGGAAAGAAACAAGAAATAACTGAGATTGTCACTGTACACGAGCAAAATAAGGAACCACAAACAACAATAACCGTTGTTGAGTCCGAGGTTCCTGAGGAGGACATTGAAGAAATCAAACCTCACGAATTCAACAAAGAGAAATCTAAGAAGATTGTTGAAGAGATTCCAACTGATGTAAAGATTTCAGAAGTCATATCTGAAGAACAAACACCAGAAAAATCTATTAAGAAGCGTGTAATCAAAAAGAAGGTTGGCAAGAAACAAGAAATAACTGAAATTGTCACTGTACACGAGCAAAATAAGGAACCACAAACAACAATAACCGTTGTTGAATCCGAGGTTCCTGAAGAGGACATTGAAGAAATCAAACCTCACGAATTCAACAAAGAGAAATCTAAGAAGATTGTTGAAGAGATTCCAACTGATGTAAAGATTTCAGAAGTCATATCTGAAGAACAAACACCAGAAAAATCTATTAAGAAGCGTGTAATCAAAAAGAAGGTTGGCAAGAAACAAGAAATAACTGAGATTGTCACTGTACACGAGCAAAATAAGGAACCACAAACAACAATAACCGTTGTTGAGTCCGAGTTTCCTGAAGAGGACATTGAAGAAATCAAACCTGACGAGTTCAACAAAGAGAAATCTAAGAAGATTGTTGAAGAGATTCCAACTGATGTAAAGATTTCAGAAGTCATATCTGAAGAACAAACACCAGAAAAATCTATTAAGAAGCGTGTAATCAAAAAGAAGGTTGGCAAGAAACAAGAAATAACTGAGATTGTCACTGTACACGAACAAAATAAGGAACCACAAACAACAATAACCGTTGTTGAGTCCGAGGTTCCTGAGGAGGACGTTGAAGAAATCAAACCTCACGAATTCAACAAAGAGAAATCTAAGAAGATTGTTGAAGAGATTCCAACTGATGTAAAGATTTCAGAAGTTATATCTGAAGAACAAACACCAGAAAAATCTATTAAGAAGCGTGTAATCAAAAAGAAGGTTGGCAAGAAACAAGAAATAACTGAGATTGTCACTGTACACGAGCAAAATAAGGAACCACAAACAACAATAACCGTTGTTGAGTCCGAGGTTCTTGAGGAGGACATCGAAGAAATCAAACCTCACGAATTCAACAAAGAGAAATCTAAGAAGATTGTTGAACAGATTCCAACTGATGTAAAGATTTCAGAAGTCATATTTGAAGAACAAACACCAGAAAAATCTATTAAGAAGCGTGTAATCAAAAAGAAGGTTGGCAAGAAACAAGAAATAACTGAGATTGTCACTGTACACGAGCAAAATAAGGAACCACAAACAACAATAACCGTTGTTGAGTCCGAGGTTCCTGAAGAGGACATTGAAGAAATCAAACCTGACGAGTTCAAAAAAGAGAAATCTAAGAAGATTGTTGAAGAGATTCCAACTGATGTAAAGATTTCAGAAGTCATATCTGAAGAACAAACACCAGAAAAATCTATTAAGAAGCGTGTAATCAAAAAGAAGGTTGGCAAGAAACAAGAAATAACTGAGATTGTCACTGTACACGAGCAAAATAAGGAACCACAAACAACAATAACCGTTGTTGAGTCCGAGGTTCCTGAAGAGGGCATTGAAGAAATCAAACCTCACGAATTCAACAAAGAGAAATCTAAGAAGATTGTTGAAGAGATTCCAACTGATGTAAAGATTTCAGAAGTCATATCTGAAGAACAAACACCAGAAAAATCTATTAAGAAGCGTGTAATCAAAAAGAAGGTTGGCAAAAAACAAGAAATAACTGAGATTGTCACTGTACACGAGCAAAATAAGGAACCACAAACAACAATAACCGTTGTTGAGTCCGAGGTTCCTGAGGAGGACGTTGAAGAAATCAAACCTCACGAATTCAACAAAGAGAAATCTAAGAAGATTGTTGAAGAGATTCCAACTGATGTAAAGATTTCAGAAGTCATATCTGAAGAACAAACACCAGAAAAATCTATTAAGAAGCGTGTAATCAAAAAGAAGGTTGGCAAAAAACAAGAAATAACTGAGATTGTCACTGTACACGAGCAAAATAAGGAACCACAAACAACAATAACCGTTGTTGAGTCCGAGGTTCCTGAGGAGGACGTTGAAGAAATCAAACCTCACGAATTCAACAAAGAGAAATCTAAGAAGATTGTTGAAGAGATTCCAACTGATGTAAAGATTTCAGAAGTCATATCTGAAGAACAAACACCAGAAAAATCTATTAAGAAGCGTGTAATCAAAAAGAAGGTTGGCAAGAAACAAGAAATAACTGAGATTGTCACTGTACACGAGCAAAATAAGGAACCACAAACAACAATAACCGTTGTTGAGTCCGAGGTTCTTGAGGAGGACATTGAAGAAATCAAACCTCACGAATTCAACAAAGAGAAATCTAAGAAGATTGTTGAAGAGATTCCAACTGATGTAAAGATTTCAGAAGTCATATCTGAAGAACAAACACCAGAAAAATCTATTAAGAAGCGTGTAATTACAAAAAAGGTTGGCAAAAGACAGGAAATTATCGAAATTGTTAAAATTGATGAAGAAAATAAGGAACCAGTTGTTTCAGTTTCAATATCCGAAATTTCTTTAGACACTGACACTTTACAAGAAACACCTTTCGATAAATTAAAATCTACAAAATGTGGTAAGTTCATTAGTGTTTCATTTCTTTTTCACTCACTCATTTTATTGTTTTTATTTGGTGGTCCCTTTACCAACTATTTTAATCCGTCTTTTATTTATAAAACATCCAACAATACAAAAAACCCTTTAAAGAGTATTGCTCATTTAGATATTTACACCCAGAATTCTAAACATCTAGATTTCTGATTGATTTTGTATTTCCATGAGTAAAAAGTTAACTGAAATTTATTTTATTGTGGACTTTGAGATGAAAAACTTTCTGACTTTATATATTACACTTTATTTTTTTATTAATCTTGTATTAATCAACTTTTCAAAAATGTTATTTAAGTTTTGTTTTTCTAAGATATAATAAACTCTTAAGAATAAGTTTAAAGTGGCGTAAATTAATAAAATGTCTGCATAATGAAAAAATTGCTTTTTCCTCATGGAATTGTCCTTGTAAGCGTATAACTTTCAATACTCAACCATTACAACATTACAGATAACACTTTTAAACACTTTAGTAAACTATGAACAACTTACATCAATTTAATTTAATTTTTTAAAATTAGCACTCTTAACTTGCTCATTGAATTTTTTGATTACACTTGCTTACAAATTTCAAATTTTAAGTTTCCGTTAAATATTTCAACTGGTAAATGAAATTATTACTAAAATTTTTAAACATAAATTGTTGAGATAATGCATTTCAAGTTATATAAAAACTTTTAACATTTCAAAACTTCATTTATACAATTTTTACACAGATATTGTTACACCTGAACAAGAAAACATAACAATCACAGAGCATATATCACAAACAGACGACCAAAACAAAAAGATACACAAGCGAACAATAACGAAAAAAGTTGGAAAGAAGCAAGAAATAACTGAAATTGTTACAATTAAGGAAGAAAAACAAGATCAGGAAACTATTCTTAGTATATCGCAAATTGAAGAACCTCTTGAGGAAATTGAATTATTTGATACACAAGAGATTAGAAAACAGAAAACTAAAGAAACAGTCGAAGATATTCCAGCTGATATCAAAATTTCAGAAATATTAACGGAAGAACAAACACCTGAAAAATCGATTAAAAAACGCGTTATCAAAAAGAAAGTTGGCAAGAAGCAGGAAATCACTGAAATTGTTACAGTTCAGGAGCATAATAAAGAACCTCAAACTACAGTTACGGTAACTGAATCAGAAATTCCTGAGGAAGAAATTGAGACAATTAAACCTCATGAGTTCGTCGAAGAAAAATCTAAACCACTCATTGAGGAGGTTCCATCTGATGTCAAGATCTCCGAGGTCATAACTGAAGAGAAGGCTCCAGAAAAGTCTGTCAAGAAGAGAGTAATCACAAAGAAGGTTGGCAAGAAACAGGAGGTTACCGAAATTGTAACTGTGCAAGAAGAGAACAAAGAACCTCAAACAACAATCACTGTGCTCGAGTCTGAGCTCCCTGAGGAGGAAATTGAGACAATTAAACCTCATGAGTTCGTTGAGGAAAAATCTAAGCCACTCATTGAGGAGGTTCCATCTGACGTCAAGATCTCCGAGGTCATAACTGAAGAGAAGGCTCCAGAAAAGTCTGTCAAGAAGAGAGTAATCACAAAGAAGGTTGGCAAGAAACAAGAGGTTACCGAAATAGTAACTGTGCAAGAAGAGAACAAAGAACCTCAAACAACAATCACTGTGCTCGAATCTGAGCTTGCTGAGGAGGAAATTGAGACAATTAAACCTCGTGAGGTCGTTGAGGAGAAATCTAAACCACTCATTGAGGAGGTTCCATCTGACGTCAAGATCTCCGAGGTCATAACTGAAGAGAAGGCTCCAGAAAAGTCTGTCAAGAAGAGAGTAATCACAAAGAAGGTTGGCAAGAAACAAGAGGTTACCGAAATAGTAACTGTGCAAGAAGAGAACAAAGAACCTCAAACAACAATCACTGTGCTCGAGTCTGAGCTTCCTGAGGAGGAAATTGAGACAATTAAACCTCACGAGTTCGTAGAGGAAAAATCTAAGCCACTCATTGAGGAGGTTCCATCTGATGTCAAGATCTCCGAGGTCATAACTGAAGAGAAGGCTCCAGAAAAGTCTGTCAAGAAGAGAGTAATCACAAAGAAGGTTGGCAAGAAACAGGAGGTTACCGAAATTGTAACTGTGCAAGAAGAGAACAAAGAACCTCAAACAACAATCACTGTGCTCGAGTCTGAGCTTCCTGAGGAGGAAATTGAGACAATTAAACCTCATGAGTTCGTTGAGGAAAAATCTAAGCCACTCATTGAGGAGGTTCCATCTGATATCAAGATCTCCGAGGTCATAACTGAAGAGAAGGCTCCAGAAAAGTCTGTCAAGAAGAGAGTAATCACAAAGAAGGTTGGCAAGAAACAGGAGGTTACCGAAATTGTAACTGTGCAAGAAGAGAACAAAGAACCTCAAACAACAATCACTGTGCTCGAGTCTGAGCTCCCTGAGGAGGAAATTGAGACAATTAAACCTCATGAGTTCGTCGAGGAAAAATCTAAGCCACTCATTGAGGAGGTTCCATCTGATATCAAGATCTCCGAGGTCATAACTGAAGAGAAGGCTCCAGAAAAGTCTGTCAAGAAGAGAGTAATCACAAAGAAGGTTGGCAAGAAACAGGAGGTTACCGAAATAGTAACTGTGCAAGAAGAGAACAAAGAACCTCAAACAACAATCACTGTGCTCGAGTCTGAGCTTCCTGAGGAGGAAATTGAGACAATTAAACCTCATGAGTTCGTCGAGGAAAAATCTAAGCCACTCATTGAGGAGGTTCCATCTGACGTCAAGATCTCCGAGGTCATAACTGAAGAGAAGGCTCCAGAAAAGTCTGTCAAGAAGAGAGTAATCACAAAGAAGGTTGGCAAGAAACAAGAGGTTACCGAAATAGTAACTGTGCAAGAAGAGAACAAAGAACCTCAAACAACAATCACTGTGCTCGAGTCTGAGCTCCCTGAGGAGGAAATTGAGACAATTAAACCTCATGAGTTCGTTGAGGAAAAATCTAAGCCACTCATTGAGGAGGTTCCATCTGATGTCAAGATTTCTGAAGTAATAACTGAGGAAGAAGTTCCAGAAAAAACTATTAAAAAGAAAACAACTACTAAAAAGGCTGGAAAGAAACAAGAAATATCTGAGATCGTGGAAGTGAAAGAAGAATCAAAAGAACCTTCACAAGAAACTGTAAATGAGCCTGAAGAGCTTGAGGAAAAGATTGAAGTAATCAAACCTCAAGAAATAGTTGAGGAAACATCTAAGCCACTCATTGAGGAGGTTCAATCTGATGTCAAGATTTCTGAAGTAATAACTGAGGAAGAAGTTCCAGAAAAAACTATTAAAAAGAAAACAACTACTAAAAAGGCTGGAAAGAAACAAGAAATATCTGAGATCGTGGAAGTGAAAGAAGAATCAAAAGAACCTTCACAAGAAACTGTAAATGAGCCTGAAGAGCTTGAGGAAAAGATTGAAGTAATCAAACCTCAAGAAATAGTTGAGGAAAAACCTAAAACAGAAATTGAAGAACAAACATTAGACACTGCTACAAAAGAACAACCAGACACTCTCATTGATTCCACATTACCCGAAGAAATTCGTAAGTTTTATTACACATCATTACCCAGTAGACACAATACTATAATACTATACACTTTAGTCCTTATATTTATATAGTCTTTAAAAATTTTTGTGATTATTTAAAATTTTAGCTTATAATTAAATTGTTTAATGGATTTCATTTAAATTTTCTATATTCAAACAGCCGAAGAGTTTGTCGAGGAATCAATCACTGAAGAAATCCAAGAAAAGAAGGCACCAAAGAAAATTGTTAAGAAAAAAGTCAAGAAACCTAAAGATGATATTGATGAAATCACAAGAAAATTATTAGAAATGGAAGTTGAAAAAACTGAATTAGAAACATTTGATTCAACCGTCCATGAGGTTTATAAGAAAGAAGATGCTCCAGTGGTGGTTAAAAAACCTAAATTAGTACCAATTAAAATTGAGATGAAGCAAATTAAACCATCAAAACCTGTTGTGACAGAACCAGAACAACCTCAAACAATTGTTCTTCGCAAAACGAAAGTCACACCTAAGAAAGCGGTTGAAGAGACAAAACTTCCAACTGTTTTACTCAAGAGTAGAATTGTACGAGTTGAATATCCACCAGAAGAAAAAACTTTCGAAATTGTTGATTTAAAGACAATCAGAGGTAGAGGAGAAATGACTCGCATTGAAGAAGAAGAAAAGGAAGTCAAAAAGGTTAAAAAGATTAAAAAGTTTAAAGCTCCAAAAGATGAAAGACCAGAGCTTGAGGAAGTCGAATCCTTTGAAGAAGAGGAGAAAGCTCCAGCACCAGAACCAGTAGAGGAAGAAAAACCTAAATATGAAAGAAAACCAAAAGAAGTCCCGGAACCAGAAGAAGTTGAAAATAAAACACTTAAACTTGGCAAAGGCAAAGTTCCAGTTCAAGAAACACCAGAAGAAATTGTTAAATTAAAGAAGATCCCTGAAAAGCCGCAACCAGTTGTTGAGGAAGAAATAAAGCTTAAACCAAAACCAGAACCAGAAGTGAAACAAGAAGAAATACCAAAGAAAAAGAGGGAAAAACAAAAGTTAGAACCATTACAACCATTTGAACCTTCTGAAGCTGAACCAATTGAAAAAGAAGTTTACGAGCCAACACCAATTGAAAAAGAAGTGAAAGAAAAACCTGAAGAGAAAGATACTTATCAGCGTAAACCAAAACCAGAAGAAAAGAAAGAAGAACCTGAAATAAATATTGTTTTAGGTAAGCCAAAACCAAAAGAAGAACCTGAGGAGCCTGAAGTTAAATTCAGAATTCCTCAACGTCCAAAGAGTCCATCACCTGAAGAACAAATCAAATTGAAGCCATTCACAAAGCCAAAAGAAGAAACAGAAGAAGAAAAAGAGCCCAAGTATGATTTGAAAATTAAATTTGACGATAAACCTAAAGATGATGAAGATTTTGAAGTTACAATTGAGCCACTACCAGATAAAGAAAAGGAACCAAAAGCTAAAAAGAAGGTTAAAAAACCAAAGAAACCAGTAGAAGAAGATACAGAGCTTGAGAGACTTCTTAACCTTGATATTGAAAAGACAGAATTAGAAAAATACGAAAAAATTGATGTCGATGTTCCAAAGAAGGTCAAACCTGAGCCAAAGAAAGAAGAACCTCAAAAGGTAGTTGAAGAAAAGGTCGAACCCAAAGAGGTTATTCCAGAAAAACCAAAAGAGGAAAAGAAACCAGAAGAGCCTGAGAAGATTGAACCAGCTAAAATTAAACCACCAAGACCAAAGAAGGAAAAGCCTCAAGAAAAACCAGAAGAAAAAGTTGAAGATACGCTTGAAACTATTTTACAACGTAAACTCAAGCGTCGTGAAATGACAAAAGAAACAGTTGAAATGAAGACTCAAGAGCCACAATTTGCTCAAACAACTGAACCACAATCTGCATATGAAGCAGAATTGGAGAACATTAGACGCAAATTGTCAAAGGTTGATTCAAATGTCGACTCGACTGAAGAAGTTTCTGAAAGAGAAGTCAAGCCAGAAAAGAAAAAGCAGAAGAAAATCAAAAAGAAGAATACTTCAGAAATGGATGCTGAGTTAGAGCGTTTGCTTAACTTAGAGATTGAAAGAACTGAATTAGAAAAATACGAGAAGGTTGATATTGAGCTTAGCAAACGTGAAAAACTTGAGCCACAAGAAGTTGTCACTGTTTATCAAAGACCACAGAAGGTAGTCATCGAAGAAGAACCTCAAAAATTAGTCACACTTAAAATAAATAAGAAAGAAAAACCAGAGGAAGAGATTGAAGAAAGCTTTAGTCTCAAGAAGCCTAAGCAATTTGAGCTTCCAGAACCTGAGGAAGTTAGTATTAAACTTAAACCTTTTGTTAAAGAACCAGTTGAGGAGACTGAAGAGGTAACCTTCGATGTTAAGAAGAAGCCAGAAGTAATCGAAGAGGTGGAAGTCATTGAGACAATCAAGAAAACAAGGAAGCCTAAACCATCAGAGGAAGCTGAAACTGATTTTACAATCAAAAAACCAAAGAAGCCCAAAGTCGAAGTCGAAGAGGCTGAAGTCTCAATTACTAAAACATTAAAACCAGAACCTGAACCGATTATTGAAGAACCAACTGAAGAAGTCACATTTGGTATTAAGAAACCAAAACCAAAAGAAATTGTGACCGAAGAGGTTGAAGTTGTCGAAACAATCAAAAAGAAGAAGAAACCTAAACCTACAGAGGAAACTGAGTCAGAACTCTCAATTAAAAAGACTAGGAAACCTAAAGTTGAGACTGCAGAAGCTGAAGTTTCAATCACCAAGACAATTGAGCAAGAACCAGAGCCGATTGTTGAAGAACCAACTGAGGAGGTCACTTTCGGTATCAAAAAACCAAAAATGAGAGAAATGGTCACAGAAGAGATTGAAATTTCTGAAACATTGAAGAAACCAAAGAAACCTGAACAGGAAATGACAGAAGAAGTCACATTTGGTTTGAAAAAACCAAAACCTCAACCTGTGATTACAGAAGATGTTGAGGTGGTTGAAACCATCAGAAAGAAGAAGAAGCCAAAACTTTCTGAAGAAGTTGAAGCAGAAATGAGCATTAAGAAGCCATCCAAGCCTAAAGTCCAAAACGAAGAAGCTGAGGCTACATTCACAAAGACTATTGAAATGCCTGATGAAGAGCCTATTGTTGAGGAAATTATTGTTGAGGAGCCCGAAGATATTACAGAAGATTTTGTCTTCAAACGCAAGCCAAAACCAAAACCAGCTCCAAAATACGAAGAACACAATGAAGAAGTTACGATTAAGAAACTTAGAAAGCCTCATAAACGTCCTGAATTCCCAGAATATGCTGAACCTGAGAATGTCACATTCAGACCAAAACGTACAACACACAAAGAAGATGTTGACCAAGAATTCAAAATTCAACTTGATTCTTATGCTGAAGAAGAAATTTCAATGTCTGGTAAAGTTAAATTAAAGAAGCCTAAACCAGTATACTTTGAAGATGCAGGAGAACATAATATGAAGATCTATCAAGAAGTTGAGGATGACGGACCAATTATAGAAGAAATTATTGATGAAGGCAGTGAACCAGAAGATACATTCTACGATGTTGATGAGCCTGATGAGTTCTCAGATAAGGAAGTTTTGCCTGAAGATGAAGAACCAGAGGACGTCATTGTTAAATTGAAACGTCGCAAGCAAAAGGTTCCTTATAAGGTACAAGACTATGAAGAAGAATCTGTGTCATTAGGTTTACCACGCAAGAAGAGACGTCAAAAGATTTCATCATATGATGAAGATTCTCTTCAATTAAGATTGAAGCGTCGCTCAGGACCTAAATATATTGAAGGTAACAATTCTATGCTCCTTTTGGCACTAGAAGAATTTAAATCGTTATTTATTCATTCTGCTTGTAAATGTTATTATTTATTATCATTCACTAACCTTCCATATCTTTTGCGCAAACATTTATTTTTACAATTTTACTTTATTTAAGCATATTAATACATTCAGATGCTTAAAGGTATTCATTATTCAATTTTACTTTACTATATAAAACTAATTTTCAATTTCTATTCTCAACAATTCTTTAGAAGAGAACTCATTGAGTATCACTCGCGAACTTCATGAAGAAGACATGATGGTTTCAATTTGCTCAGTCGTCTCAGACAATGAAGACACATTGAATCTTGTAGAAGGTGAGAAGGTCTACGTCATGGATCGTTATAATGCTGACTGGTGGTTTATCAGAAAACAATTGACTAATGAGAAGGGATGGACTGAATCTCAAAATCTTATGGATGCTGTAAGCTACACTCATTATGTACAGAAGAAACTTAATGAGAAGATTGACAAACTTCCAATTATTGAGAGTAAGTATAAAACTTAGAATCAACCCCTAAACAATTAATTTAAAATCTCATCTTTTACAGAACCTGGTCCAGACGACAAATCATTGGCACCAAGATTCGTTGAAAAGCTTCAACCCATTACATCACAAGAAGGACACACTGTTCAATTTGAATGCAAGGTTGAAGGCTTTCCAAGACCACAAATTACATGGTTCCGTCAAACACAAATTATTTTGGCATCTGAGGACTTCCAAATGTACTATGACGATGATGATGTTGCTACATTGATCATTCGTGATGTCTTCCCAGAAGATGCTGGTACATTTACTTGTGTAGCTAAAAATGCGGCTGGTTTCGCTTCAAGTACAACTGAATTGACAGTTGAATATTCAGAACATGGATCAGAAATGACATCAAGAAGAAGCATGTCTAGGGAATCATCATTGGCTGACATTTTGGAAGGCGTTCCACCAATCTTTTCACGTAAACCAAAAGTTAAATGTGTAGATGAAGGCTCAAATGTTATCATTGATTGTCGCTTGGTTGCTGTACCTAAACCAACAATTAAATGGTACTTTGAAGGAAAGGAACTCGAAACAGCACATAATATTAAGCTTGTCACCAAATCTGATCATCATATGTACTGCACTGTCATGCAAATTACGAATGTGACAAAGAAACAAGAAGGTAAATACAGATGTATAGCCACAAACAAGCAAGGTGAAACAATCCTTCCAATCAAACTGAAGGTCAGAACTGGAGAAAAAGAGAAACCAGAAATTTTGGAGCCATTAAATAACACCGTTGTTCGTGAAGGTGAAACAGTTACATTTACAACACAAATCATTGGAACTCCAACACCAAAAGTACAATGGTTTAAAAATGGTGAAGAACTTAAGGAAAATATTACACACGATAAGGATGTCTACACAATGAAGATTATTACAACAAAAGAAACTGATAGTGGTGAATATACAATTAAGGCCACCAACTCTGCAGGTACAGCATTTGCAGAATGTACATTAACGGTTGAAGAGAGTGGCTTACATTTCGAGCCACCTATGTTCACTACACGATTCGAGGAAGTTGTTGTTAAGCAAAACGAGACAATCACATTGTCAGCTAAAGTTACTGGCATGCCACAACCTGAAATCACATGGTTAAGAAACAATAAGCCACTTCAACCATCAGACAGAATCAAGTCAGAATATGATGGTGAAAACATCACTCTTACAATCACAAAGGCCGATTCTGAAACTGATTCTGGTGACTATAAATGTGTAGCTAGTAACATAATTGGAAAGGCATCACACGGTGCAAAGGTTCTTATTGATGTTGACAAAGTCAAATTTACTAAACCATTACACAAAACATACACTGTTGAGGAGAACAGGACAACAACATTAGAATGTGAGACATCACATTCAGTCACAACGAAATGGTACCACAATGATAAGGAATTAACTGGCATGGATCATCGTGTGATTGTTCATGAAGCAAGAATTCACAAGCTTGTCATTAAATCTTCATCATTTGAAGATGCTGGTTTCTATAAATGCACAGTCAAGGACCAAGTCACTGATTGTGAACTCAAAGTAGTCGAGACTAAACCAGAATTCATTAGAAAACTTGAAGATATCGAGTCTGATGAATTAGAAACAATTGTTCTCGAAGTAGAAATCACATCTGAGACAGCAACCGTGTCCTGGTACAAAGATGGCGAAGAGATCAAACCCAAACCAAATAAAACTGAAATGGTTAAGAAAGGAAAAGTTCATCAACTTGTTGTAAGAGAAGTAACAGTCTACGATGAAGGTGAATACACTTGTGTACTTGCTGATCATGAATGTTCTGGTGATGTCACAGTTATTGAATTGCCACCAGCATTGCTTTATGATCTAGAGGATATTACAATCTCTCAAGGTGAAAAGGCAATCTTTGAAGTTGAACTTACTAAAGGTGATGCATTAGTCAAATGGTTCAAGAATGGCGAAGAAATTCTGTTCTCAGATCACGTTCAATTGAGAATTGATGGTAAGAAACAGAAATTGAAGATTTATGATGCACTTTTGGAAGATGGTGGTGAATATTCATGCATGGTTGGTGATCAAGTATCTACAGCCACTCTTAAAGTTGAGAAACCATTAGTTGAATTCGTTAAGCGCTTACCAGACATCACATTAGTTACAAAGGACAAGGAAATCACAATGACAGTAGAATTGACACAACCTGTAAATGTTGAATGGTTCAAAAATAATGAGCCCATCAAGCCATCGGATAAATATACAATCATCGATGAAGGCACAGTCAAGAAACTTATTATCCACAATGCTGAAGAAACTGATGCACAACAATACACAGTTGTTGCTGAAAATGTCAAATCAACAACAAAACTTAAAGTTGAAATTATCAAATCAGCACCAGTCATTGCACTGGATGATTTGAATAAGGTTTATAGAGTTAAGGAAGACGATGAAGTGACATTCAATATTAAGTTCAATGCAACACCTAAACCTGAATGCGAATGGACAACTTCAGAGACAATAATCAAGAAATCACCCAGACATGAACCAAAGGTAACAGATCAATATGCAAGCTTGACAATTAAGAGAATCGTTGAGACTGATGCCGGTGATTATAATGTTAAATTGACAAATGTTTGTGGTGAGGTTGAAACGACACTTAAAGTTATTTATATGAGTAAGTATAAAGGATAAAATTCTATTAAGCAAAAAGGTCACAAATTATTTATTTTTTCAGAACAACCATCACAGCCTGGTTCTCCTGAGCCAGTAGAATTGACTGACGACTCTATCACATTATTCTGGCCAGCACCCGAAGATGATGGAAATTGTGAAATTACAGAATACATCCTAGAGTACCAAGAAATAAGAGAAAAGACATGGAAAAAGATCACAAAGATTAAGGAAACAACATATACAATTACAGAACTCAGAAAAGATACAGAGATGAGATTCCAAGTGACTGCTGTGAATGAAATTGGACCAAGTAAACCATCAGTGCCATCAAGTGCAAAGATATCCAAACCAATCAAGAAAGAACCTCCAACATTCACTGAATCTCTTAAGGATGTAACAATAGGCTTAAATAAATCTCATACACTTTCCTGTGTCGTCGGTGGCATTCCAATTCCAGAAGTAATGTGGTACAAAGATGATCAACCATTTGCATCAAAATTCTTATCATACGAGAGTCGTATCTCAAAATATACAATTGAAACGACAACAGAAACAACGGCTGGAACCTACAAGTGTATAGCAACAAATGAAATGGGTGAATCGACTACAACATGTAATGTTGTAATTCAAGAGAAGCCATCAATTACGATTGATGAAAAATTAATCTCACAAAATCTTCGTGTACAATCCCAATATGAAGTTGTGGCTAATGTGACTGGATATCCAGTTCCAAAAGTACAATGGTTTAAAGACAATATTAAGATTGATACAAATGAAGAATACACAGTTGAGACAACAAAGACGACAACAAGGCTTTTCATTAAGAGCATTGAAAGACACCATAGTGGTAAATTTACAGTAAAGGCAAAGAACACAGCTGGTACAGCTGTTGTAGACTTGTCAGTATCTGTAATCGATAAGCCAAGTAAACCAGAAGGTCCACTTCTATTCCGTGAAATTAGTGACGAAGCAGTCGTGTTAGAATGGAAAGCACCAGGAGATGATGGTGGTCTTGACATTCAGCAATACTCAATTGAAAAATGTGATCCAAATCAAAAGGCATGGATTAAGATTGCCGATGTCGATAAGAACATTGAATCATATTGCATTCAAAATCTCACTGAGAATGCACAGTATTTATTCCGTGTTATTGCCAAGAATCCAATGGGCAGTTCAGAGCCATTAGAAAGTGAAGCTGTAACTGTTAAGAGAGTAGCAGAAAGACCATCACCACCACGTGGACCAATTGAAATCTCAGGTATGACCGACACATCATTCACACTTACATGGAAGCCATCCGAAAAGGATGGCGGATCTAGAATAATTGAGTATCTTGTGGAAATTCGTGAAAGTAACAAGAAGGTATGGAAGATGCTAAGCATAACCTCCTTCGATACAACAACAGTCTATGTACAAAAATTGATTAAAGATCAAGGCTATCATTTCCGAATCACAGCCAGAAACAAGATTGGAACAAGTGATCCATTAATCACAGACGATAAGATCGTTGCTGGACGTCAAATAAGTAAGTATAGTAACAGTTTATATCCAAGTAGATTCTTAATTGTGGTTATAAATAAGATAAAAGTAAATATTAACACAATATGTAGCCACATCCATCCCAAAACTTATTCACAAATTGTGCCATAATTTAATGTTTAAATGTCGTAAACTTAAAAAAACTTTCCAGCACCACCATCACCACCACAAAACTTGAGAATTGTCAATGTGACAAGCAAGAGTGTGACAATTGAGTGGGAGACGCCAGAAAGCAACGGTGGAGCTGAAATTACAGCATATATTATAGAAAAATTATTGACAAAATCATCACAATGGAGTCGAGTGGCAACACTTGATTCTTATTGCCTCAGTTACTGTATAGACAATTTGAAAGAGACTAATGAACTTAACTTCAGAGTATCAGCTGAAAATGCAATGGGTGTAAGCGCACCTGCCTACACAGATTCTGTAATTCTTAAGACGCATGCAAGTATGTGTAGTTCCTGAATGTTATAAATGTTTTCATGTCTAGTCAATAGATTATTGCAGTTATTAATATATTTTCTTATTATAGCCGTTCCATCACCACCAACTGGACCATTAGAAATTCGTCTTATTGGTTCAAGTACACACGTTGTTGAGTGGGGTATTCCAGAAACAGATGGCGGAGCACCACTTCAAGGATATAATATTGCAATTCGCGATATCAAGAAGACAATGTGGATTGAAGTTGGACGATGCAAGGAGGATGTACAGAAGTTTAATATTCGTGATTTACAAGACGGTCATAAGTACCTCATCAGAATTTATGCACATAATGAAGTTGGTCTCAGTGATCCACTTGAGTCTGAAGAGCCATATGAATGCCTTCATGGTGCTGGTATGTGTTTTGTTGTTACTTTATGGATGAAGATTTTTAAATTTTGATTGATTTTTAGAAAATGATGCCCATGATGATTTACGTTCTCAAATCACTGAACCAACAGGCTGGAGTACTGAAAACACATCCTCATGGATGCGTGACCATAATATGGATGCCGATATTAGTTCGTATGCAAGAGCTAAATTATTACGACGAGATGAATATTTCTTCAAAATATGGCATTACGCAAAGAAACTTTTCAAATAAGTTTCAGATTTTTTTTTTGTTGCTGTTTTTTAATTTAATTTTTTCTTTAATTTGTTTTTTTACGTTACGTTATTATTGTATTGACTTTATATCCCTAAAATCATATGCAATGTGTTAAATTTACAAATTATAAGATGAACTTGAGAGTTTCTGCCAAAAATTAAAGAGTAGCACTTAACATCCTGTGGAAATTTTCATAAATCATCTTAAAATTTGCAAATTTAAAATTTATTGCTATTGTTATTCTAAGTTGAAATTGTCATTCATGTTTGCTTTTAAGTCAGCAAAAAGTAAATTGAGAATCAGCGAATCTATTTTCGGGAGACAAAAAAAAATATAGATGCAAACGACTTAAAACGAAATAATTCAATTTACTGTTGCTGATAAGGGTAAAGAATGATTTTCAACTGCATTTGAGATTTTTTGCACTTAATAAAAATTTATATTATTCAAAAAATGTTGTCTTTTAGTTGAAATTGCGAAGTTTCATCCAATAAGAATTAGTTTCTTATAAGAAAATTTTTGAAATCTTAAAACGGTCAAAATAAATTTGAATCTAAGCTTCGAGCTTTTCATTCAATATTTTTGAATTTTTTTCAGCCGTTATGATTTGAAACTTCAATTTAATGAAGCTGTGGACTAATTGATCAACTTAATCAAGTTCATAAATTATCAAAATAATCTTCATCTTCAAAAGATTAATAACAAGCAACCAAACTTCCACAACCAAACCAAACTTCCACAATTCATCACCAATTAGTTTCAAAACTCTTTTTTTTATCGCATTAAAGTGTGCAAAATTTTGCATTTCAAAATATTTTTTTTGTGTTTTAACAGCCACAATTTCAATTTGTTTGATACGCTTCGCGAAGTTTTGAGCGATAAAAAAGTAATTAAAGGTGCTGATTAATTTGTGCATGCTTGTAAATATTCAGGTTTCTCATTTGCAGTTTTCTAATTGGAAACTAGTAGCAATTATAAATACAACTTATTCAATATGAAGAGTTTGTTTGACATTAATTAGCTTTAGACGATTCGCGTTTGGAATTTAAAGCAAAATAGCAATTAATTTAGGTGGCTTTTGATATTTTTATGAGCGTATAATGCGACATTTCCTATTTATCGTATAAACATGAAATCAAAATTAAAATTGTTTGTTGATACTATGGAAAAGGAAATATACATGTAGATCTGCCCACGACACGTTTAATATAAGCTTTATATTAATTAATTCTAAAATGAAGTTTTTTTTTCTCTATTCAGAAATAAAAATGATCTGCAGGCTCATTAAATGTGGAGTATGGAATTAAATTTATAATGAATTTTGATCCAAAGATTTTGAATTTCTCAATTTTAATGTTTGTCATTTCATGAAATTGAATTTTATTTTATGACTGAAGACTTGAGATTTTATGGCAACAGACTTGATATTCGATTCATGAATATTTGGATTAATCAGCATTTTGACAATGTGTAATGATTAAGACACGAGGGTTATCAAACTTTCCAAGTCATTATGACACTCATTTAGACTAAATATAATAAAAAATGTTGGACATTGATTAGAAAATTTTAATTTATTAAATAACAAGCATTAGGTTTGTTAAATTAAAAACTATTCAGATCTTAAGCCAGTGACCATGTCAGGCTTCGTTTCAATTTTTCAATCAGATACAACGTCGACTAGTTCCGTTTCCGTGAAAGCTTTCCATGGAGAATTTCCGGCTATTCTCATTCTAAGCACATCATTTTATGACCCGCTACAGCATTTCACATTGCCTAATTCTTAGTGCTTCTTATTAAACTGCTATACTTAAGAAGCCAAAGCATCTGTACTTTTAAAAACTCGCTAGGATGTTGGGACTTGAACTCGGGAGTCCTAATTCAACATCAACTTGTGTGACCTGAACCTTGCCAAGGCAATTATGCTTCTTCAGAGAACAGAAAACAGTTTTAGTATTGAAAGACATTTTTCCGACGATTTGAAATTAACATTCAATACATATGTTTTGTGGAGTAAAGCTAAAATATACAAAATATTCAGTAGACTTATAAAATCAAAATTTAAACCCCTCATTAGGGACAATACTCAAATGATGCCCATAATAATCTAGAATTATTAAATCCTCATTCATGCTATTCTTTTTAAATTTTGAACATCATTTATGAATTAAGATAAGCAACCAGGATTAAGATCCTTAAAATTCTAGTCATCAAGACACATCAAATCCCTGTTCAAACAAATAAAATCTATCAAAGTTGCAATAACAAAATATAAAATTTCCTCAAATCATTCATAAAAAAGTAAAATTTTAATCAACAACTTTGTAAACTCCTGATAAAAAAAATATTATTCCATAATTTTCCCAATCACAATTAAATAACGGGATTGAATGCATGACCTCTGCGTCTACAGTATTTCAATTATAAAAAATCGATCAACAATTTAAAAATCTTATGAATCACTGCTGATAAAATATATATTTTTATTATAAATTGTATAGAATTTAATTATTAATGCGACGTTCATTATCAGTCAGTCAATTAACACATTTCTGATTGATAATAAAATTATTATTAATTAAAAAATTAATAAGCTTTATTTATTTTTATGTCTTGAAATTTTTATTTGTTTTGAGTTTTCAATAATTACGACACAAACCAAATAAATAGAAGGGATATTTTAATATTTAGCACATGTTGCACATGAAGGACATGAAGCAAAAAAAGAAGAAGAAGTCAAAAGTCATAATTTACGACATCTCTTTTTGTGGTTAAAACCAGGCTTGTAATCCGATACTGACTTTGTGAACTGTAAAATTACATGGAAATGTTACAAATTCTGAATCTTAGGTTCCAAACTCATATGTACCATGACATTCATCTTTAAGTGTAGATTGTCAATTCACTACTTGTATAATTATTCATAATTTAACAAAAATTCTTTCTGACAGTCTTTGAAGCTATGGAATGTTCAAAAAATACAGATTTCTTTCTCTTAATTAATACGATCATTTTCACATGCAACAAATTTTCAAGTTTTTTTCGGATATGTCTTTAATTTAATTTAGTCGAAACAAAATCATCTCGTCAAAAGTGATTAATAGTTGGGATATTTTTCCTAGAAATTAGACCTTTCAGCGGAAATTTTCTCAGTCTAGTTATGACGAAAGACGTGTTAATTTTAAATTACCTCCTTGGATGCTCGTCAAACTTATGCTGCTCTATATGCTCATGATCTATTGAGCTGAAAGTTTTTTGGCTCGGCATAAAATCGTGTGAAGGTATCAGCAATTTATTATTATTGTAATATCAAGGGTGTGGGTATGAGAGAATTAAATGTTTTAAGGTTTGTGTATGCAACCAGGCTTGTTCTGTATAAAACTTACAAGATATTCTCATCTATTTTAGTCAACGATACAATTCTTTTAAACAAAATAAAGGGCTCAGATACGATTGAAACCATTCTAAGGATATATGATTTTTTGATTACTTCTGACCCATTTCTTACTCTAATGTTGCCTCTGAGTAGATTTCTAGTGCTATCCTAGGTACTCTAGTCATAGAAATTTGTTTATATATCCTTTAAAAACTAGCCTCTAGGGCTCTTAAATATCAAACCGACGACGTTTGACTTCTCGCATCAAATTCGAGTCAAATGCCTTTCCAATTGCTCCACCATGGCACTCATTTGCTGTAGACAGAGTCTTAGCTAGAAAATAATTGGACTTAAAATTTGAGAATCAAATATCAAAGTCTTTATCAACTTAATAAATTTCAATAAAACTACCCAAATATGTAGCACATGTCGGTTGATCAAATCGAAATCTCGAACCAAGATGGTGTAGCTGTGGCATGATGCTGGCTTCGAATTGAGTGCCACAGCAACGCTGGTTTTATACCGGATTTCTATTCGAGCTAGTCAATTATGATGAATAGTTTTAATTTTAATTTTTGGAAGCTATAACTACTAAAATTAAAGACCCTAGTAATTTTATAAGATGCAAGATGTTTAATAAGGTAGCTTCAGCTCAAACTAAGGACATGGAATGTAGGTTATTGTAATATTATGAGCATTGTACGAATCCTTCTCATATCGACAATATTCTATATAATGAATGAGAGATCGATTCTGGTGGGAATCGAACCCATGTTCTCATAAAGAGCGTTCCAGATATTCAGTCAGTTTTCTAACCACTCGCTCCACAGAGGCCTAAGTCTAGCACTGGCAGATTCGCCCATATATGGCTCGATACCTCACATTCCACTATGCTCCGACACCACAGCTGTTGAGACAAAACTGCTAGCATGCAACTTAAAGCAAATTTTAACAAGTAAGATTACAAAAATTCAAATTAAATAACTTTGATAATTTAAGAATTTTTTTTAAAATATTTCAAAATCTTCAAAATTTTTTTCTAAATTGCCCACAAAAAGAACAAAACTCCTTTCAAAACTCATTCAATTTATTATTTTTAGTAAGAATTCCAATTCTATGTATGCCAAACAACATATTGAGTACCATTATTATTCACCCTTAATTGCATAATAGATTGTGTCCCAAACAATTTAAAAACTATAAAAAGTACTTTAAATGTATTCTGTAAACAATAAAAACAACACACCTTGTGACGCATTACTTTGTTCTTTATGTCAATTGTTCTATCAAGAGGTCTATTGAGAATCATAAAAGCAAGTTCTCAAAAATCACTGGGCACCAAGGCATGTGCTACATTTTTTGCTAATTTTCTGTTCCAAACAATACCCATCAGGAATCAACAATATGTTTTCTTAGATAATTCTTTCCTTTTTTACACTTCTGGTAATTTTTGTTTTTTAAATAAATTTAAGGACCTGAAAAAATTGCTCTTTTTGAAACAAGAGCAATAACAAAAGATTTCAGGAAAGGGCATACGAATGATTGCAAAGAGGAGTGAGAAAAGTTTTCACTTTGAGGCTAATTAGCGTGAAATTTAAAAATGTGCATCATAGAATCATGAAAAACTACACGAGGATAATTTTTCAATGCATCAAAAATGAAAAAAAAAGAAGAGAAAAAAAATTGTGGCGCCGAAGGCGTTCCACACATATTTAAAGAGTCTTGACCGCCTTGATATGAGGAGTGTAGTGAAGCTGCAGAAAAATATCAAATTACACACATAAGGAAGATGCCGATCATCCTCTATCTGATTTGTCACAGTTCTTTAAATCATTAGCCTCGATTGATTATAGAAACATTTCCACAAAACACTCTCGAACTAATAAATTCCACTTAATTTAGACTTCCGGACAATCCAACGTGGCAGTCGCTGTAAAAAATCAGTAAAAATGTGTAGATTAATTATCATTTTAATAAATATTTTATATTTACTCGAGATTATTATGAATGAATGACTTGAAACATGCGATGTAATTAAATTATTACCATCTCACACTAGAAAGGTTATCACTTGAGAGAATGAACAAAATTAATTTATGTTTATAGCTAATTAAATCTTTCCCTCCGTCATGACTTTGACTTTGTTTTAATAATATATTTAGTCTAAATCGAAAACAGAGGCCTGAAAATTTTCTTCTAATTTGATTTGATAAGACTGACTTAATTGACAGATTAACTGCTTATTTTTCTTAATAATTCTTATTTTTAAACTTATTTGCTTATCACACAGAGCTATTTGTTATTAGGAAAAAATAAAATCTTATCGCTTAAGCAATTATGTTCGTTCTATTAAACAAAAAGTCTCTCATTAATCAAGCTAAAAATATACAATTTTTTAAAAATGATTTGTGAGCGGTTTTTGTAAGAATTATTGTGATTTAATTTTTTATTTTACGTCTGGGTTAATCTACAGGGTAGATTTTCATGAAATGATGTGGATTCTTTATTGAAACTGTATACTACATATTAGATGCTTTGATTTTGGATACGAATGCGCTTAAATTCAAAAATCTTGAGAATCAAGTCAAAATTGATAGAAAATTTCCGATTTAAATAAAATGAATTTAATAGTTTAGAACAAAGTTGTTTCAACCCAACTTAACTTTAAAGGGAAAATTGTCTGAGATTTTGTGACAGTTCAGACAATGAAAACCAAACTTTTTCTTCATAGAAATTTTATGACAAGAGGGAGAAGCGGGGATATAAAATCCACGTTTACGGATTCACAAACGGTTTAAAATCCGTCAGGGAATTGTGTAATTATAATAAAGATGCATCTCTAGCCTTATGAGACTTACTAGTCATCTTTAACAAGAGCCGTGGGTTCGATTCCCTCCATTTATTCTAAGAAAATATTGTCAGTGTGACAAGGAATCGAACTAGTAATTTGAAAAATACTCAAAGATATTAAACAAACTTTTCCATGATAGAATTTTCATCAAAAGTTCTTAAAAAATTAAAATTCAACTTAGCAATAAAATTTACATTTTAAAACATTGTATTTCGATTATCTCAAAACATTTTGAAAACTATCTGAAATGCTCACGATTTCATTTATAAAGATATAAAATTTATAAACTGAACTACAACATTCAGATGCTTGTTTTCAAACGTAAAAACTCAATTTGTTTCTGTTCTGTCGATTTTAATAATGACAGTAAAATGTTTAAAAGGCTTGTCCTAAAATTCCTGAATGTTTATGCACCTATTTTAGCAACAAATTTGCAAATAATTCTTTATTTTTGCATCATAAGTTGAAAGTTGCAGAATGCGGAATTAATTATGAATTTAAATGTTTTGAGGAAGTTTTTATTTTGATTTTGGAAAAGAATTTCAAAAACTTAGAGTTTTTTGCATAGTTGATTCTTTTTTGGGTGTAAACAAAGGTTTGGAATCGTTGAAAAAGATTGAAAAATGAATAGTAATGTTGAATTTTCAGTTCTTAACTGTTAAATGTCAACTATTAAGTTTATCAATTTTATAATTAAAACTAACGCCTATAATCACTGAAAACAAGTTGTATCATCAACTAACATGCCAACTCTGTCATCAATCAGTCGTCTTATTTAATTTACGATCGCTGATTTCAAACCTTAATAAAGAAATCAACTTCTACGGTCAAAATAACTCAGTAATTAAATTAAAAAGAAAAGTATTTTTTTTTCTAAGGAAGCAAAAAAAAATGTCTGCCGTAATGCAACTTTCTCTAGGGAATCTAATCTTTCTGTAGAATCGCTCATAAATCTCATCGTCTCCAATTAAATAATTTTGTTGCGCGTGTAATTTTTGCTTTTTTTCCCCTACAAAGGAATCATTTTCATACATGGACACTTTTTAGAAACGGCGATTGCGCAAAAAAATGTCGATGGGTCGCGCTATAATCATTATTTGACTTTTAATTTTTTTTTTCAACTTCCAACTGATAAGACTCTTACAAATACAGCTGAAAAAAATATATAAAATTTAATTAATCAATTACTTATTTTGTATTGCATGCAATAAATAAATTCGTTATCGATTAAACAGCCGCAGTAAGAATGAGGAGAAATTAACGACCATGAAATGTGCAATTCGATTTTCCTTCTTAAAGCATAAAGCTGCAAAATAAAAAAGTAGCGAGACATGATTGAATAAAAGGAGAAAAATACATGAATTTTGATTAGTTTTTAATGAGATTGATGTTTTTATTTTCTTAACAAATTAATTTATACGTTTGGTAAAAGCAATATAAAGTCTTTCAATCACTTTTTTACATAGATTGCAGTTCAACAATCAATACATTAATTAATCATTATTATTTACTTTTTAATTTAATATTTACAATTTGACGTAATTTGCGGTCATTTGATATGAATTTTGATTGCATAACTTTGAATTTAATCAATAATTTCAACTTTTATAGTACTTTTGAGATTTTTATTGATTTATAGAGTTTTTTAGGGGATTTTGATTTGGGTTTTTGAATAAGCATAATAATAATTTTCGAGTTTGAAATTTTAATCAATTTTCTTCTTAATTTGTTGATTTTGGAGAAATTTAATTGAAATTTTGTGTTTTTAAACAAATGTTGCAACTCTTAAAGACAATTGAGTTGTTTCAAGCAGTTTGACACCTAGAGTGTGAGCTCTTTAGATGCATCTACCTGCTTTTTGTTTAGAGTTTCAATCTTTTTGTAAAAACACAAGACTTAAACATTGCAACATTGTTAAAAAAAATTCTGTTCAAGAATGTTTCAAGTTTGACTACTTAATTGAACTTAGTTGCTCAAAAAGGGTTTAAAATATTTATGGTGTTAAATTCATAAGTTTTCAACATTTAAATTTCTTTTTTTTTCAAAATTCAAATTTCCCAAACCTAATTTTAATCTTATAACCTTGAATTGATTTTCGAAAAGATTTGAATCTTCAAAATCATATTTTTCAAAAACACAAAAATTCCTAATTTTCAGAATCAATTCAAATTCAATTACTAAAAGCAACATATACAAAATGTTTGCTCAAGACATCTTTCAATCTCAATTAGCTTCAAAGCATCGCAAGTCGACAGAAAGTCTGACAATGTATGTTGAAGTTTTTGAACTTTCAATCGTGTCTATTGACACTAACATGTAAAGATGGATTTAGACAGTAAGTCTATAAAGACAAAAGAATTGATCGTGTTGTAAAATATCGACTGGTGAGTGTCTGGGTGAGGAATTTGAGTTTTTAAGAAAGTATGTGCTTTAAAAATTGAACCTTTTTACAATAAATTAAATTTAAAATATTTCAGAATTGCAAACAAATTGAGTTGCAATTTGGAAATGTCTGAATTTGTCATGACTTTAGACATGCATGTTAAGTTCATCAAAATTTTAAGCACTACAAAACCCAACCTCAAGCATTTAAATGCTCGCCCAATTATCTTAACGATCAACCAATAAAAAGACTTTATGACTTACTAAGAGTAATCACATGAGATTACTACCAATAATCATGCCGGATGGATTATCGACAATAATCTCGATAATTTACCGTCAATAATTTCGTCAGAAAATGCTCTTAAAAGACCTTTTTTTCACCTCGAAAATCGTGCAATTTAAAGATCATCAAATTATTAAACTTTCGTCGTGCAATCATCATACAAAGTACCTCAATTTTCGTGATTTTTTTCACTGCAATTTTCCTCATTGGAATATAGAACTTAATGAGAAAAGTAAAGGAGATAGAGAGTTGAAATTTATTTATTTTTTTTCACTGAGAAACATTATTTTGCATCTTTTCTTTTTTGTCACTCTAACTCAATAAAATGAAGATTCTTTGTTCATAATTTACATAACTTATTTAAGATTATTTTCATTTATTACAATTTTCTATTTTCAGTGTGCATCAAATCACTTTTTTTTTGTTGTTCATTTCTTCACTTTTTTTAAGTACTAAAGATTGTTTTTATCGTTCATTAAACTAGTTCTGTCATCATCTTTTGTGTTGTTGCATTAAATTACTTTAATTATATATTTTTCTTTTGTTCATATCACTTTTCATTTCAATATTTTCGTCGATTCCTGTCATGAAATTAAAGCAAATGCATCGCTTCATTTATGAGGGTTGGATGAAAATATCCCATATAAAGTTGTGCGCCTGGACCCGCTCTTCCTAATGCAGCCATTTTTATTTTTTCTAATTCAGCCTCCTGAAGTCGTTTAGCCTGAATGAGGGGAGAGAAATAAAGAGGGTTAAATAATTATTAGTTAAGGTTGTCTATTTAAGAGTTTGAATTGGAATTAATTGCGAGTTTTGAATGGAAATGCTTAATATGGTTTGATTTATGAGCTATAAATAGTTTCTTTTTCGTAATTATTGCTAAGAGTTTAGACATATAAATTGTATAAAATTCGAACAATTCTAATGAAATACATTTTGAATTTTTTTCAAATATTTTCAATTTTTAAACTTTAAAAGCTAAATCCTAGTTTTTGTAAAACTTAACAAAAATCTCCAAACTGATTGAAGACTTAATTTTAATTTTTTGTCAGTTTCAAAATCTTTTGAGCTTGCTAAACCATCCCCAAACCCACTCAAAACTTCAAAACTCCTAATAAATCACAAAAAAATAATCAATCGATGCTTACCTTAGCTCGTCTATTTTGAAACCAAATTTTAACTTGTGTCTCGGTCAGTCGAAGGGATGAAGAGAATTCAGCTCGTTCCGCAATACTCAAATATTGTTTCTCGCGGAACTTTTTCTCCAATGATAATAATTGTTGTGTCGTAAATGGCGTTCTCGGTTTTCTGTTTGGCTTGTGTTTTCGTAGATTACATTTTATACGTGGTAATTCAGAACCTGGTTGAAACAGAACAGGAAAGGGTGATTTATGAGAAAATAGTCCCACCATTTGACCTTCTGATAAAGACTTACTTCCATTTAATTGTCCAGGAAGCCCCTGTCCGGGAAAAAGTTCTTGGGGTCTACCAAATGGTGGTGGAATTTGTCTGCCTGGCCAACCGGGAACTCCATTATTCATACCCCATGCTGCTGCTGCTGCCGCTAGAGCACTAAATGGTGTCGGACGAATGAGTGCCTGTCCTGAGACCAACGGATGTGATTGCAACAAATCTCCTTTGTGTGGTGAGTCGATATTACTACTGTTTGTACTATCGTTCTTAACATCTTCAACATCCACAATTGAGTCCTCCTCGTCCTCATCGTGTATTGACTCGTCGAAATCATCTGATGCAATTGAACTATGAGGTGTATGTGATTTTCTATCCAATAATTCACTGTCACTTATTTTATTATTGAGGGAATTGCTACTACAATCATTATCATTATTATTATTATTAATATTATTATTATTTATCGGTAAGCACAAATCAGTCTTGGGAACTGATAAATTTTTAGGCATTAACGACGACAGATCATCGTTATTATTGTGAAAATTCTGGTGATGATGATGAAGATTATTATTTTTTAACACTGTCGCTGTAAATGATTTACGATTATCAGCTAGCAATGATGCAACACTAAAGTTACTAATTTTCGAAGCTTTTGTCTCCTTATTAATATCCACAGAAGTTACCGTCGGGCTTGTCATCGTAATTGTACGAATGGGCGTTACAGTCATTTTGATATTATTCCAACTTTATAAAAAATAAACTTTTTTTTTAATGTTTTACTTTTTTTTGCTTTATTTTACGCATTGGAAATTTCCTTTAATTTCTTCTTTTCAAAATTTATTAATCCTTAAATTTTCTTCTTTTTGTCACTTTCTTCTTGTTATTTTTATTCTTGCAAAATGATTTTTTTTTTATTTTATTTTTTTCTTCTTCAAAAAAAACTCTCGAAGCGATCACTTGATTTTGTACGTCTTAACTGAACGAAGGAAACACACAAACTGAAAATGTTTGTAAGCAGCACTACACATTAAAAAATTTTTTTATTTCACTGCCGTTCAATCTCACAGTTCACTAACACATGTGTGGACGAGAAAAAAAATGATGATTTTAACCAATCGCAGGCGATTTTATAAGAGGGGCTACATGCTTAGCAGACTTACATGTACTTGTGAAAAAGAAATCAGTGGTACTCACATAAAGCGACAAATACATAAACAAAAAAAAATTTAAAACTTCAATAAAACAGCAATTTGTTTGCAGCCTCAATTAATACATTCATTCATTCATTCTGCTATGTGCTGTTTCTTCTCTTTTTTTTTTGCTGCTGCTGCTTTCTGCCTTCCTCTCTCACTCAACTTGAATATCTAATTGCATTGATTGCAAAATAATTTTTCTTTAACTAAATTGTTGGTAATTTGCGTTTATTATTAAATTAACATTTTATTGTATAAACGGCTCTTCCTCTTGCTGTTGCCTCGTCTTCTTCTTGTTATTGCATTTTTTTAATATATTTAATATTTTGTTATGATTACATCCAAATTGCCATTAAGTGAGTTAAGGAAACTTAGTCATCTAAAATATAATTAATGAAATTGCTAATTTCGAATGAAAACATTCAAGCAGATGTTGTTGTAGTGTATGAGAGGACTTAGGGAGTTTTTAGACACAACGGCATAAACATTGAAAATTATTTTCTGCACAATCATTTGAGAGGAAATTTTTATAGCACATTTTATAGGAAGGATAATTTTACTTTTTATGGGAACTCAGTGTGAAATTTTGATTGTCCGAAAATATTGCTGAATTTTTAAGTCACCGGCAAACGGAAATATTAGAATTTTTTTTATTAAGACTGCTGGTGATAGAATAAATATTTAATTTTTTAAACAATTGCTGTGAATGATAAATTGGAAGATAAGTTTTAAATTTTAATGATTACAAAAAATTAAGGTTTAAACAATTTAAAAAATTGTAAACTAGATTTTATAGAGGTTTTTTAAGAAGTAAAATATAATTTGAATAATTTTTCTTTTTTTTCAGTACTTTTAAAAAATAGTTTTTTTTAAAAATTTCAAAATAATTTTTATTTTTTAAAAAATATATAATTTTTTAAACATTTAAAAACCAAATTTTATTTAAAAAAGGTTTTAAAAATATTTAAAAGCAAAATTTAAGTGTAAAAAAGGTTAAGTTTAAAAAAAATTTTTATTTTGCAAAATTGAAATTTAACTTTCGAAATATTTATTTTTAAAAAACTTGTCATAAAAAGAATTAAGCTAGACAAGAAAAAAATTTCTTTCTTCAACACTCTCATCGATCATACTTATAAGCATCAGTGTTATTTAACTCTACAAAGTTTCACTGCATTAAAACTTATTTACAAGCTACAAATTACTGAGAAGAAAATCAAAAAATTCACATACATCAAGTGAAAAGACCTTGATAACAATTTCAGCAAAACAAAAGCCTTTAAAAGATGCTTTCTTTTATCATATCGAGGGAATTTAACGCAAATTAGTTTTATCGATGATGATGATAATACACAAAAATGAATCATTTTGTTAACAACAATCAACAGCAATTGCAAAACATATTATGGATCTATAAAATTATCTTGATTGGTGTTATAAAACATCAACAAGGATAATTTCTGAGATAAATCAGCTTTTTTTTATGCTCGCTTACACGAAACTCAATCGATTCATAGTCGATCGGTCTCACTCAAATTACACTCGAGTCACAAATTATAGGCTGTGAAGTGATGAAAATTTGATTAAATTATAGAGGTTGAGCACGGCAACGGCACAGTTTTATCCTCTCAATAGACCTTATTTAATATTAAATGATTATTATTAATAGTATGGATATCTTCATACACTCTTCATACTTCTTCATATAACTTTATATGTTTAAAACTAATTTAAATGAAAATTTTTTTCGACATAATCGAGATGAAATATTTTTTGATAAATACATTGAACCTGTATTAAGGCTCATGGCTTAAATTGATTGTGAATAAATTACATTATTATTGACAACATTTATCTGAAGCATGCTCTTTGTGTTATGTTATAGGTGCATCTGTTTAGCTCCTATCACATGTTTAGTCTCGTTTAGCCATTTGATATATTAGTTTGGATTCAACCTCTTTAAGCTTGCTAATAAACTATTGTTTCGTACTCTTTGAATAGGCTTACCAGATATTTTAAAGGAAAAAAGAAGATTTCCTTTGAAAATCCAAGCAGCTAATCTTTGAACCTTCAGTCAATAGTGTCACTAACAAGCTCTGGACATTGAAAAGTTACGACTACGTCATCTAAAGACCTAAAGTACCATTCAGTATCCAAGATGTGTAAAAGATGTCGTAAGGAATCTAATTTTACATAAGCAACAAAGAAGTACAGCTTGACGAGATATTGATGTGGTGTTGCCGTGTATCACAATTTATGAAATCACATGACTGCCACGTAACTTCTGTCGTCCGTCAAGAATACTTAACTTTGATGACACGGTTGAACTGTATCCTTGCGTGTGAATCAATTTAGTAACATATTAACACCAAGTCTACTTGGTCATGCTTAGCAAAGGAGGACGTAAGAGACATATTCCATACCATATTATGGCTTTGACCCTATGCTTAGCACTTGAACTTAGGTTTGTATCTGGATTAATGAGATAATCAATAATTTAATTAAATTAATCGTAAAGAAAAACTCTATTGTTAAGAAATATTAAAGCTACGGATTCGCTAGATAAACGCAAATTAGCTGTCACATACCACGTGATTGTCGCTAACCTTAAAGCATTCTATAAAAGAAAAATAAGAAGAATTCCAATTCACTGTTAAATAAACTCAGACAGTTCAAAACGGTTGTTACCTTAACTTTTCAAAAAAGGTGCTAAAAGTTAAATAGCACAGCACATAACATGATGTATATTGTTCATACAAAAAAATGCACAAACTTAAGGAAGGAAAAAAAAGAGCCAAGGTATTTCAATAATTTTAAAGAGCATTAAAGAGCAGAAATTATTTAAGAAGTGCAAAAACATTAATCGAGTTAAGGAGAGAAGAAAGAAGAAGCAAGGAGGAGGGGAAAGACGTAAAGAAAGAGGAAAAATTTTTCAAACCTTGTTAAACGTTGTGCAAAAGCCAAATAAAAATCCAATTTACTTTTCAAATCATCATATCTTCATCTTTTTATGCCTTCCCTTTTTTTATATTTTTTTATTTTTATACAATTTAAGAAATGCATTCAGAGGATTCTGCAATTGCATGATGCACCAAAACCTCCTCTCTCACTCTCCTCATACACAATATCTCTGTCTTTTAGTCAGAAATAAAAGAAAAAAATAAGTAGCCAGTAAATACAGTAGCGAAATTCAATTTAAAATTTATCAGTTCGAAATAAAATAAATTGGGTTTATTGCTTGTTAACGCAATATTTTCAATTCTTTTTATTTCATGCCCTCTCCATCTCTTTCTAGTATGCTGGATTTCTTGTGACACTTTTGGATGGAATTGACTTTATGGCAGACTGTCTATGTGATGGAATGTGTTACATGAAATTCAGTGGGTACGGGACTATTATTGTTGGGAATTACTAATGTCGAATCTTTTAAAGGAGATGCTAAAGGGTCTTAATCTCTATGATACTTTCGTTTAATGGAAGCACCATGTGTCTCTAATCATGTCCATAAGTCCTTTATGTAAATTATTGCCTCACATTAAGATTTTATTGATAGATGAAACGGCGATTTAGTGGCCTTAGTGGTTCATCTTATGTGTCAAATGACTTAGATTCAATTCAATGTATAGTTTAATTGGAAGATTATTGCCCATTTCTTTGATTTAGTTTAATGACTAGTTTCGTATGTTGGGTTTAGGATTGATGTCTTTGCACTAGATGTGTCTCCATTGATGAGGTATGCAAAGATATCGATAGGTAACATTTTAATGGCTGTGACTAGGTTCATTGCATATTATATCAGGTCTTAGTTTAGGCTGCAACGTGTAAAGCTCCCAAGTGGTTCGGATTCCACTATAATCTGACAGCCTGTAGGGTACGGTTCAATTGATTTAGATTCTATTCAAATTTAATCAATGAACCATCCGCTCAAAAGGCTAACATTATTATTGTATTATTTAGGATCCATCCCCTATTTTTCATATTGCCACAATATTTACTAAGGAACTCAATGTGGCCCTTACTAACATACCATGAATATCGTCAGCAGCGCATTTAACTCCCAGGTTTTTCTATAAATCACAAATCATAAGAGTATGTCACATAGAAATGCGCAACCAAATCACTCACATAAACACTCCAAACCATCTTATTTTTAGGGAAAAAAGAAATCTTCTTACATGAATAAATTTTTTAATGGTTTGTTTTCATCCTCAGTGACTCAAAATAAAAACAAAAAAAAATATATAAAAAGTATCCATGAGTACGAGAAAAGAGAAGCATTTCGATTTTTACCAATTTCGTAGAATTTGATAAGACCATTAATGTGAAAGAAAGAGAAGTAGCAAATACAGAGAAGGCAAAAGCATTTTTTTTTTAATACTGTGTATTTTTCAGAAAATTGATTAATAAGCCGAGATATTTCGTTCCCATTCTTACAACTAATTGGCTCAACAAGAATCCACCAAAACAAGAAGAATGAGAGGAAAAGCCTTATAAAGCAACCAAGGATGACATATCGTCAGCCAAAATGTCAATAATGATATTTCAGATTTATGTTGGCGATATTATTTGCTCCAATTATAAATATTTCTTTTTTTCTTCTCTGTATTCATAAATAACTATCAAATTTAAAATAATAATAATACAATCGATGAAACAAGCAACACGCAATGAAACATTTTTTTTTTCAACCGGATTTAACAATTTGACTACTGATTATCATTTTACATGATTTTTGTCTTTCTTTCTTTGTTTTAAAACATTGTATATAAATTATAATGAGAGAATGATTTTT